CAAGACTAAGAGACAGAGGGAAAGAAAGCATGCCCAACCCAGCCCTTGAACTGGAAAAGCATCTATGGCACACATCTTTTTTTTTTTTTTCTGATAATTGATCTCACTTTATTGAAACTCTTTCAGTGAATTAACTGTTTATAGCTTTGACTTCCAAGAACTCAGATCTGTACGGAATTACATTAAAGAACTCTTGTGATATCTGCTACTTTGATATTTAGCCAGTGAGAAGAAAAAAAAAATTACTTCATTTTTTTTCTAAAAATTTTCATGTATTCCTTATATCTCTATGATTTCTGGACTGAAGATGATTTATCGTGGTATGAGGCTATACATAGCTTTCAGGTTTGTCTTCCTTCTCAAGATATACTGACTGGAATAAGTACTTTTTCACAAGTCATGACAGGTTTTTGTAGAATACCTTTAGCCCAAGTAGCGATGTAGTCATTGCTTGTCGTAAGACTGTTTAAGAGCGTCTGGTTCTGGGTTTGGTTGTAGTTTTTGCTGTGTCTTGTTTTGCTTTCGCCTGTGTCCCAGGCTAGCTGGCCCCTGAGCTTCCACTGCTGACCCTGTCTCCACGGCCTCTCTTACGGTAGCAGTGCCGGGATTACAGCTGTGTGCCTCTGCTTCGGGGTTCTTCACGCATGTTCTGGGGATGGACCTCAGCTCCTCAGGCTTGGCTATTCAGAGGGTATGGCACACATCTTAAAATAAGGAAAGTCAAGTTCAACAGTGCAGTCTTAGAATACAAAAGAACTTTATTGTCAAGAAGTTGTGGAAGGATCATTGTTTTCGTTTTTTGTTGTTTTGGGTTTTTTGTTGTTGTTTGTTGTTGTTGTTGCTTAAGAGCTATGTTGTCCATGCATGTTATATTGATTACCTTTCTATTGCTGTGATAAGACACCATGGCCAAAGCAACTTAGAGCAGAGGGTTGATGGGGGTTGGAGCCGGAAGCTGAGTTCATGTCTTGAACCAAAAGGAGGAAGCAGAGAAATAGTAATGCCGAGAGCCTTTAAACTCTCCAACGCTATGTCCCGTGACACACTTCCTCCACAGCCTACACTTCCCAGGCCTCCCCCAAACTGTGTCACCCACTGAGGACCGAGTGCTCAAAGGCCGGAGCCTATAGGAAACCCTCCCACTCAACCCACCACACGTGTGTTTATATTTTACAACTCAACATTCCCCTGGGTGGGGATAGGTGGCTTGTTTGGGAAACTGTTTGATTTCCAAGTCTGAGGATCTAAATTTCACCCTCAGGCCAGGTATGATAGCACATGCTTGTAATCCCAGCACCAAGGAAGCAGAAACAGGTAGCTCTCCGGGGTTCGCTAGCCAGCCAGCCTAGCTATATCGATGAGTTCCAGGTTCAGTGAGACTCTGTTTCAAAAATAACAGGTGGGTGCTTCCAGGGGAACATCACTCAGTGTTGGCCTGTGGCTTCCACGTGCACAGCGCCACACAAGAACACCTCCCCACTCACCCACACAGACATACACAGTCCCCCAGGTGTTAACTGAGGTGGACAGAAGCCATATTCCGAAGGCCACTCTGGAATGCCAGTCAGTAGAAGGGGCTCCGTCTACTGACCCCAGGGGGCCCAGGGAGACCACAAAGTGTCAGAATGGTAGCAGATGGTAAGGAGGGCTGCCAGCAATCACCACAGGAGTCGGTTCCCTTTCCATGATGCTCTCAGGCAAGGTGGAGCCTCTTAGGACAGCACAGGAGACCGAGAGGAAGGAAGAGCCACTCTCCGTGCCCCAGGACCTAAATTCGGTCAAGAAGACACTGACCTTTGGTGAATCTCACAACGAGTTCTCTGAGAGGAGTGCCTGGAAGCCTGGTACAGTGGCTGTCTCGGCCACAGTTTCTACTGCTGTGAAGAGACACCACAGCCAAGGCAACTCTCATAAAGGAAGCATTGACTTGGGGGCTTGCTTACAGTCTTAGAAGATCAGTCTATAATCATCCTGGTGGGGAGCATGGTGGCACACAGGCAGGCATGGTGCTGGAGAAGTAGCTGAGAGCTCCATTCTGACCCAGGCAGCAGGGAGAGACTGAGAGAGAGAGACTGGGCCTAGCATTGGGTTTTGACACCTCAAAGCCCATCTCCAGTGACACGCTTCCTCCAACTAGGCCACACCCCCAAATCCTTCTAATCTTCCTCAAACAGGTCCACCCCCTAGGGACTAAGCATTCAAATATGAGCCTATAGGGGTCTTTCTCATCCACACCACCACAGTGGTGCATGTCGGTAAATCCCAGTTACTCGGAAGGCTGGGGCAGAAAGATGACAAGTTCAAGGCCTGCCTGGGCGATGTAGCAGATGCTGCCTCAAAAAAAACACAAAGAAACAGGAAGTTCATAGAGCTTGGCACACCCCACCCTCCATTCCTAACCAATCAAGAAACACACACCAAGGGTGTGCCCGTACTTGGGATGCGGTGGAGATGCAGTTTTAGGAATTTAGGGATCCCCACACTCTGCTCAAACTATTGATGGTGCTAGTCAGTGTTTCTGTTGTTTGGAGAGCAACACCAAGTAATATTTAAGAAGCTCAGGGTCCACCTTGGTAATGGGCATGTCCCCCAAACATCTGTACTTCAGATTCATCCGCCTCTAGCTTCTCCAAGCCCACATTATTTTGCTTACTCTAATTTCAATTTATGTAATTCAGATATTCTAATTTCAAGTAAATGTTTAACCATCGCTAGCTGACGGTGTGGTACCCGCTCTTCCTTGGGGAGGTAGAAAGCAGAGGTGGCTTAGAGTATGGAGCCTGGACTCACTGCCCGCTGTCACAGCGTGCGTCTCTAACCAGCTAGGTCCACAGCCCAGCCTCGTATCTCTGAGCTTTCATTTTGTTTGCTCTTAAAATGAGGAAAATAACGTTAAGGTTCTGCTGTGGTGAACAAAGCATGCACAGTTTTCTCTCTAGGCACAGTGCCTGCTCCCAGTTAGCTCCCGACTCGATGTTAGCCTTGTGCTCTTCTCCGGAACCTTGAGCATCTCATCTCAGACAACTGAAGCAGATCACACTAATCAGTCAAAATACATCAGTACAGTTTTCTTTCCTCATGCATGTATGATATGTGTGCTTATATGCACATTTGCCTGTATATGGGTACACATGTGTGGGGGTGTGCATGACATGTGTGCGTGTGTGCCTGAGGCTGGTGCTGGGAGTCTCCCTTATGTTAAGGCAGAGTCTCTTGGTTGAACCAGGTGCTGTCAGATATGACTAGCCTGGCTAGCCCGCTCCTCCAGGAATCCTATTTCTTCCTCCCGTGCACTGGGATTATAATGGCCACTATGCCCACCCAGCTTCCCAGGACCTGAACTCTGTGCTCACACCCGCTGCTTTCACAGAAGGTGTGGAGCCAGCTCCCTGCCTGCTCTAACATTCTTAGGATTAACTGTTCTTGGCTGTGCCCTGTGAGTGCACGCCGTCTGCTTAAGAGAACAGCCCAGGTGATAACAGTGAGGGTGAGCATCTCCTCTTCACCCCACACTGCTTCCACCCCACCTCTTGCACAGCTGGAAGAGGAGATGCAAAGTAAGGACTAGCTATTCCAAGACTTGACCTGAGTTGGTGCTGTGGATGAGACCCGAGCGCTCATCACCATACCCAGTGGGTATTTGATGGTGCCAAGCATTGGGCATTACTGTGTGCACAGCTAAAGCTCAGGAGCTCAGGTTAAGTCTGAGTGTGACTGTGACCAGCTCGGGCATTAATGTGCTCAGAATCCCCTGAGGGGCTTGTTAAACACAGGTGGCTGAGCCCTAGCCCCCAGAGTTTGATTCAGCAGATCTACACCTAAGCAGGTGCGAAGAATTTGCATCGCTCTAACAAGTCCCCAGGTGAGCCTGGTGCCTCTGTGCCTGTGGCCACACATTTGGAAATACTAGTCCATTCAGCTCACCTGGTTGAAGGAATCAAAGATGCAGAGTCAACCAGATGCAGCCCTGTCAAGAAAACCACTGGCTCTAGGGGGCGCTAAAGGATGGCGCATGGAATGCTCACTAACCCTCAGCACTCCACTGGATGACAACAGCAGTTAGCAGCCAGGCGGTCCCAACGGAAGGCTACAATGCCCAGTTGTTCATTCTTTCATTCACTCATGTTTAATCACCTCCTTCCAACACTGCTTTCTTCTCCTCCTTCCCCTTCTCAAAAAGGGGCCCTGCTGCCTCAGCCCATAAGTGGAGGGATTACATGCATTTTCCTGGGGAGACAGGAAGAGTTGTCTATTCACCCCAGCTAGGGGGCCAGTGACTGAGCAACGTACCAGTACCAACTCCACCGAGGTCTCCCATGGTAAACCAATGAGTTTATTGGGATTTCTTCCAGAGCATGAGTGAGGGGTGACTTATAGGCGCCTGGGTGACCCCAAAGCAGCTGCTGCACTGAAAGGTCTCACCCCAGCATGGATAATGACTTCCTTATAGCTAGCTAGATGGAGCCACACCCTTCTCCTCCAGTTAGCCTTCCACATGCTGTATGCCCTAGTACTTCCTGAGACTACAAACAGCTGGTGGGGGGGGGGGTAGGGAAGAGTGGCTAGAATCTCAGGTGAAGGCCTAATGATCCCCCCCCCTTTCTATGAGGGGCAGTCAACAGGCCTGATTTGGAGGGTCTCTTGTAGCAATCACGGTTGCTCCATGGCAGTGGCTGTTATGCCCAGAGGACCATGATCTATACAACCCAGGTGTGCCCACCAGAGCCAGCCTCAACACTGGCACTTTCCTCGTGATCTACTCATCCCGGAATGACATAACCCTGGGGCTTGGGACTTTGGCTGCTCCTTTGGGAAGCTAGCCCTTGAGTTCCGTCGGACTCCACATCTCTATGAGCGGTCCTTCCTAGTTGCTCTTCTAGGGTCTTGATCCTAAATCTCAAGAATAAATGACGGGGGTCATCGGTTTGGGGAGTGCATGCATCTGTCCCTTGTTGCTGTGTTGCGGTCACTGAAAGGACACTGTCTGTTTGTTATTGTAGTCAGTGAAAGGGGATGGAGGGATCACCCGCTCAGAAGAAAGTAATGGGAAAGACTCCGGTTGCCAAGTAAGTGACCTTGAACTCAGTCTGGTGGTGGGTTTAGCTGATGCCTTCTCGCTTCTCTCCAGGCTCATTTTCAATGCAGTTCTCAGTCATTTATGCAGCGTTTCCAGATTAAACGCCCACTGTATACTCAACACTGTGGGGCTCTGCAGACATGGTATAAACTCGTCTTCAGCTATGTTGAACTTCCTCTTCTCTCTTCCCATGGGAAATTTCTTCCCAGCCTTCAAGTTTTAGCAGAAATGTCAGCTCCTCAGAGATCCTGTGCTCTGCGGCCATCACCGCCATCTTGTTTGTTCACTTCATGATTCTGTAATGATTCTCCTGTGTGTCTCTCCTGCCTCGCCCATGTCTGGAACATTGTGGAGCAAGCAGGTGTTTCCATTTTTCTATCGCTGTGTGTGGGGTCTGGCACACAGTGGGAACTATCCTGAAGCAGATGGGTGACGCTCACTGACTCAGCTGCTTTGTTCTTAACAGAATATTTTATATCTGCATGGGATCTTTCTTTTAAAAATGGGATCATTGGGCTGGGGATGTAGCTTGCTTAGTAGAAAGCTTGCCTGACATACACAAAGCCCCGATGCCATCCCAGCACTGCATGAGACCAGGCATGGTAGCACATGCCTCAATCCCAGCACTTGAGAGCCAGAGGGAAGAAAATCAGGTGTTCAACATCGTCTAAAGACCCTCTAGTTTGTAATCTGGCACTTTTTAAATTTTAAATGAATTCCTCTATAAAAATATCAAATACCAGGGCTGGAAGATGGCTCAACAGTTAAGAGCACTGGCTGCTCTTCCAGAGGACCTGGGATCAATTCCCAGCACCCACATGGCAGCTCAAAAAAGTGTCTGAACTCTAGTTCCAGGGGATCCAACACCCTCACACAGACATACACGCAGGCAAAATATCAATGCACATAAAATTTAAAAAAAAATTTTAAAATATATCAAATACTTTTCTAGTAATTTTAATAATACAAAGAAGTGCTTAAAAGCCTGGATTTTAGACTCAACGAGCCAGGGCCTTTTTGTTTTCTGTTTTTTGTGGAGTTTTTGCTGTAGGTGTTTTGGCAGATTACTAATCTCCCAGTGTCTCAGTTTCCACACCTAGGTGGATGTAGGGGAAGTAGACATTATAGGGCATCCTACCTAGATAACTCGTACCAGGAAAGGACTGAGAACATTCCTGGCCTGGAAGGCTCAATGAATTGTTTTATATCAGCATAGGCTGCCATAACAAAACACCACACGCTGAGTGCCTTAAACCACAGACATGTCTTTTCCCTCATTTCTGTTGCTGGGAAGGCTAAAATCAAAGTATTGCCATGGTTCAGTCCCTAGTGAAGGTTCTTTCCCTTGCTTGCAAATGGCTGCCTTCTGCCTTGCAGGGGACAATAGAGGAGGAGCGAGGGGAGAAGAGTGCCCCCTAGTGTCTCTTCCTATAATGATGCTAAACCTTTGGAATCAGAGCCCCATCAGTACAACCTCATTTCATACTGAATTATTACTTTACTCCAAATGCAACCACAAAAGGGAATCATTTTCAGCGTATGAATTGGGGTTGCACGATCCAGCCAAATGTAGGTGCTATTTGTCATTATTATTAAACTGTTGGTAGGGAATGGCCATCCAATATTCATATCACATGAATCTACAGCATAATTCAGAATACAGTCTAGAGTTGCTATTTTTATTAATAAGTAGAAAACTTCTATATATGTGGGCAGGAGGAACAAGGAAAAGCCCAGTTCCCAGATGGAATTTTTCCCGAGAAGGGAGGGGGAGTCCCTGCAGCTGGGCAGTGTGAGCGGTGGGCCACTAGTGTGTCACCATGCGTCACTGTTTCCCAGTGCCTCATCTGCACAGTGCACTCAGAGCCTCACAGTTTCTTAAAAAGAGGAACTTCAGGCAAGGTTACGAGGGTGACCAGCTCTTCTGTCAGCCTGGTGGCTGGGGACTTTCCTGAACATCAATCTGTCATTTCTGTGTCTTGGAACCACCTCCCTCTAAGAAAACCCAACATGATCACTACCCAGCATTGGCATCCCACATGGGCCAGATGTGGCCATTTGACCCTCAGGTGGCAGGGAGAGGACAGGGAGAGCCTCTCGCTGCCTAGTCACACAGCAGGGGCATGATAGAACTATACTCAAGCCAGGTCTCTGACTCCACTGTAAGGATTTGAGTCACTGCTAGATGCTGACATCTTCCACACAATTTGTGGAAATTCAGGGGTTTGCACAGCATCGCAGGTTCCCAGCCTTCCCAAGGAGCATCGTGGCAGGAGTCCCCTTCACCCGGAGGAGACAGTGGCTCTGGGCTTCCTATGCTACTCAGGGATTCACCTCCATGTCTTATCACTTGCTACAGCGTTGGCTGCTGGGAAATGGCAGGATTAGGTACAGGTGGCTGCAGAATAATTTGAAGGGTGTTGGCTACCTCCAAGGACATCTACTTCCCGAGAGCTGCAGTCTCCGTGAGCTCAGGCTCAGAGCGGCCTGTCCTCTTGGCTTCTTTTTCAAAGCTGTGCTGGGTTCGCTGATGCAAAACACCAGCTTTTATTCGTGGTCAACATAACAGCTCTGCTGTGGGACTTCCTGCCTGGGTACATGACAGCACTTCATGAACCAGAGTTTGTAGACCTGAATTAAGGGGTCAAATGTGGCCCATGGGGTAGTAGATATACTTCTATTGTTTGGTGTAACTTTCAAAGTTGATATGGATTGCGTTTTACAAGAGTTCACTGCCAAGGTCTCAGAAGCCTCATATGGGGGCATGGGACCACCAGCAATTGGGAGGTAGAGGCAGGAGGATCACAAGTTTGAGGCCCGTGCTGGCCAAGTAAAGACATGATGTCTCCCAGCTAGGATCTGAGCAGCCACTAGCCAATTGGATGGTGCGTGTGACATTGGGTTCATCAAATTTCTCTGGCTACTCCCGTTTGCCTCCCTGCACCAAAGTCAGAGTTGTTGAGACCTGTGTCTGTCTAACACCGGAGAGCTTGCTTGGGACCCTGTTCAATCTCCGCTGGGGAGAAGGATTTCTCTGGGGTTGTTTGGTCTCCCTCTTTTCTGATTTTCTGTTGTCTGTACTGGTAGTCAGTTGAGGTCAAAAATATGATGAGAAAAAGATTTCAACTTCCTGACAGATTTTTTTTTCTCTGCGTAGCTACACTTTTCCCAGAAACTTCTAGGACTGGGGTTTTTACAGCCTGTACATTGTAGGTACCGTGTGGGGTGTCTCATTTTGGTATTGAAAGATGCCCATTCAAAACTAAAAATAACCATCTGGGTTTTTTTTAAACTACCATTTCATGACATAAAGGGACAGTTTCACATAAAAATATAAGGCATATGTAATTATGAATTTCAAAATGTGCACTCTCAAGTCACTTGGGCTAATTATGGGACACCCTCTCAACACTGCCCGGTTCATGAAAGGGCTTCAGGAATGCTGGATCCACGGTCACATATGCTGACACCCATACTGATTTGATTCGCATGTTCTCGGCTCTGTTTTTCTCTGTGTTGACTTCCTATCTGGAGATATTTTTTCTCTTGAAACGAACTCACAAAGGCTCAGGCTTGTATTTTCATAGCTTCAAATCCAGTGGAGTAAAGCCAGACCTCTTGATTTTTCTAGCAAAGCTCTAATATCAGATTAGCCTGTGTGTCTTTAGCTATCCTGAACCAATCAGAGCTAGCTTCAGCTATCCTGAACCAATCAGAGCTGTCTCTAGCTTATCCTGAACCAATCAGAGCTGTACAAGTTCCATCACATACTCTGTCGTGACTGGCCAGGCCTAGGCCACAGGCTCTTCTCCTGGGGGTAGAATTAGTTTGCCTAGATTGCATGGGGTAGCTGTTATTACTACCCCAGTTTACAGGTGGGGAAATTGAGGCTCTGGGGAGTTAAGTGGCTCAGCCAAAGTCATGTATGTAGTTTGACAAAGAGAAAGAGTCCTTACAGGGAATGCATAAATGAATAATGGATTATTACAAAAATAAATACATAAATAATTGCCCCTGTTATACACGACCTTGATTTATTTTTTTCTCCACATTTTACCCAAACTCATTTCCAACATCCGAACATCTCTGTTTAACACATTTACCCTTCTGCTATTAAGAATCCTCTTTCAGACACTAAACGGGGGCTTTGTTTGGAATTACTGTAGACGTCGAACTCCACGGAGAAGACGCCCTCGCCCCCAGAGCCGGAGCCCGCGCCAACCGCCCAGAAAGGCAAGGAGACCTCCTCAAAGGAGAAGAAGTCGGTGGTGGACAAGAAGTCTGTGGCTGAGACCAACAAGCTGAAGAGCAGCAAACCGGAAGCCAGAGAAGCCGCGCAGTGCGCGCAACAGCCCGTGGTGGAGGCGACCTCTCCGCAGAGCGGGGACAAGCCCCAGAAGAGGTCCGAGAAGCGGCGACAGTCCCTCGGGGGCTTCCTGAAGGGGCTGGTGAGTGGATGGGGCCGTCGTTCTTGGTTCTTAGCTAAGGGATGAGGTATTAATCTCCAAAGTGTAGGCTTGAGGTTAGGGGCAGGAAGGATGAGGATGGGGGGGCGGGGCAGGAAGATCTAAACAGCATCGGGGATGGTAGGAGAGAGTGAGGCCAAAGGCCTATGCTCCCAAGCCACTCCACCCAGCTTGTCTGCAGTCCTGCTCTGGCTGCCTCCTAGCTGTGTGTCCTTAGCTGAGCTATTCAACCCCTCAGTGCCTCAGTTTCCCCCGTTGTAAAATTTAGGTCAATTTGCTTTTTTTTTTTTTTTTCGGTTTTTCAAGACAGGGTTTCTCTGTGTAGTTTTGGTGCCTGTCCTGGCTCTCGCTCTGTAGACCAGGCTGGCCTCAAACTCACAGAGATCCACTTGGCTCTGCCTCCCAAGTACTGGGATTAAAGGCGGGCACCACCACCGCCACCCGGCCCTCAATTTTCTTTCTATTGCTGTGATAAATACCACAACCAAAAGCAACTTGGGGAGGAAAAGGTTTATTTCAGCTTACAGTTTACAGTCCATCATGGAGGGAAATCGGGGCAGGAACCTGAAGGCGGGAACTGACGCAGAGACAATAGAGGAGTGCTATTTAATGACTTGCTCCCCGTGGCTGGCTCAGCCTGCTTTCTTACACAACCTAGAACTGCCTGCCCAGGGGATGGCACTGCCCACAGTGAGCCACTGAAGTCATCAATCAATAAAATGCCGCCATAAACTGGCCTACTGCCCAGTCTAAGCCAAATGATGCTCCCTCTTCCCTAAAGTCAACATATTTAATGTGGAGTATTTGAGGAAGGGACCATTTGTGGACTGGACAGAACTCTGAATCAGAAGAGGATCCTAGAGCCCAGCTCAGCCCTACCAGCCACCAGCTTACAGGCTGGACAAAGTCATCACTGATTGGCTACAAGAAGCATCAAACTGGTGCAGTGCACCGTTTACCTTATTTAAGTTTGGTATGCTATGTTGCCTGCTTGTGATTGGCCAAACTAGACAGTTTGTGATTAACTGGAAGTCCGGCTATTTGCTATACAAAATACTCTCTTCTGTTAGGTTCTGGTGTCTTTAGCCACTCAGTCACACTGTACTCTGTGACATAAGAACTTAAAGAGCCGGCCTCAAGCTGGTGGCCCCCTGCATCTTTGATCTGCCAGGGGTAATGCTTGCTTGAGTTACTTCTTCACCGAAGGAGCCGCTGAGACTGCTGGGAACAGAATTCCTTTTGGGGCTGCAGTTTCAGGCAGAGTGGCCGAGACAGTCAGATTTGTTCTGACCACCCCATAAAATGATCAGAGTTGGTATCCCCAAGACCCATGTAAATACCAAGAGGGTGTGGCCACAATCGTGTAATCCCAGCACTTAAGGAGGCAGAGACGGGATCCCTGAAGAAAGATGGTTATAGACTAAGTTAATCAGTGTGGTTTTGGTCCAAGAGAGAGACCCTGCCTCAGTATGTAAGGTGGAGAGCAATTGGGGAAAATGCCTGGCATCAACTTGTGCCCTTTGCATGGCCTTCACGTGTGCACCATACACATGTGAGCACGCATGCACATGTGCGTGCACACACACACACAAAATTAAAAACTATACTGTGTTATATTTTCTACACTACATTATGTAGCAGATAGTATGTATATATTCTGTAATATATACTATCCTATGTTATATATAGTATATCACACTATTCCCTTTATATAACTTACTACTATAGTATTAAACTGTGCTCTGTATACCTTTATGTGCTCTGTGAACGATCCTATTTTGTAAGGTTCTACTTTATACTGAAGAAAGAGCCACCAGTAACTGTTTCCAATCCATGTGACATGTATAAATCTCAGCTCACATGTGTCAGGAAAGAAACTGTGTTCAAAGGCTAAGGATTCTCTTACTTGTTGGTATGAAATCCTGGAAAATAGGCATAATGGTGCAAGCCTAAAATCCTAACTCTCAGGAGGATTGCTGTGAGACCAGGGCCAACTTGGACTAAATAGTGAGTTCTAGTGTAAATGAATTGCTAAACGGTCTTATTCAATTAGAAAAAAAAAAAAAACATGGAGCCAGATATAGGAGTGAAAACCTGACAGACCAGGGAAATAGGAAAAGACACAATCTAACCTCACCTCACCAACACCTCAGTCTCCAAAGAGACCTACTTCCTATATACCCACACCTATATGCCTTTCTGTTCTGCTCCCTCATTTGCTCTCTCAGCCCAGCTACATCACTTCCTCTTCCTGCTCAGCTCTGTCACTTCCTGTCTGTCTGTACAGACCTCTAGACCTCTATGTTTAGTGCTGGAATTAAAGGCGTGTGCCACCAGCTCCCTGCTTGTATCACCATGCCTGGCTCTGTTCCCAGTGTGGCCTTGAACTCACAGAGATCCAGACAGATCCCTGCCTCCCAAGTGATAGGATTAAAGGTGTGTGCTACTATTGCCTGACTTCTGTTTACTATAGTAGCTGGCTTTTTCCTCTGAATCTCAGATAATTTTATTGGGGGACACAGTATACTGGGGGACACAATGCATTACCGCATTCTAGGACAGCCAATATTTGGGAGATGGGCAGAGACAAGGGTGGTATGTATTTTGATTTAGGTGGTGCTGACATGACCATTGTACTAATGGGAGCTCATGGAACTGTGTGCAGGAAGGGCTAGTTTGACTGTGTCTCAGTAACACTTGACAGAAAATACAGTAGTACAGTCGTAACAGTTCCTGCATGCGTCCACCTGCCACACCAGGACAGCAGTAAGGTGCACCCTCCACATGCCAGGAACTTGGGTGGCCCTGAGGATGCAGCAGACAGAATCCACAGAGGAGGAAGATGCCAGAGTAAAGATAGTAAGATCACTCCAGATAGTGATGAGGAATAAATCAGAGCTCCATTTTGTGAGACAGTGAAAGAATGAGTTGCTTGACAATGACTAGAGATGAGGTGTCTAGAATGAGCTAGAACAGGAAGTCCCCACCCCAGGACTATTCTAAGTGTGTCACAGTGTGAGCCCACTTTATCTTGGGAACAACCCTCTGAGATGTTTAAATATTCTCATCGCAAAGGCAAAGACATCAAATCATAATGTGTCTAAGATTTCACAAAACCAGATAGCAACGTCACTAGATGCTGAAGCTGGACATCTACCCACGAATAGGGTGTATTTAAATAGCACATTACCTAGCTTGGAATAAGTATGTGGTAAGTCCTCCTTGTTGCTGCTGGCTTTATATGGACTGCTTTATGTTTCTCTCCAGGGACCAAAGCGGATGCTGGATGCTCAGGTGCAGACGGACCCTGTATCCATCGGACCAGTCGGAAAATCCAAGTAAACAAACAACTCAGTTCCCACCAGGTCCTCCTCCACTCCATCTCCCGTCCAGACTCACTCTGTGTATATATTTGTCTTTCTCCTGGCCAGCCAATGAAATTCTGCCTACAACTTCGACCTGAATTGTTGTAGATTGAGGTGTATTATTTACGTCTCTGGTCCAGTCTTTCCTGGCAATATAACTGTAAAAATGGGTTAGCAGGTTAACTAGTTAATCCAGGAGAGCTGGTGAGTACCAGGCGTGGGATGGAGGAGGTAGATAAAGGCATTTGTGTTAAGTTATGAAAAGATGGCAGTATCCAGTAAGTTGCAGAGGGAAAATGCAAAAAAAAAAAAATGAGAAAAAGATTATTCTGCTTTGTAGAAGATGTCGACTCATCCCTTAAGCCTGAACGGGGAAGGGAAGACCTATTTGTTTCAGTTCACACTTGGAGGAAGGAGGACTCTGGGCAGGTCCTGTGGGCATCTGCCTACTTTTTGGAACGGAATGTGTAGGGTATAAAGAGGAATGGGTAAGAGTCAATTTTCAAATAGGACCCTTGAAAGTTATCGGGAAAGGGAGTGATTGACTAGAGAGGGATTGCAATGATTTGGGGGAACAATTATTTCTGAGGTGTAGGGACAAGGGCCTGGATTACCAACTTTAAAAGAAAAACCAAGGGCAAAATGAAATTAAGTTGCAGGTTTATTTTGTGACACCAAGGGGTGCCAAGATCTCCACTTTCCCCTTTGCATTCGGTACCCCTAACCAAGATTTGTCTCTGCAATATTTCATTATTAATGTTTCTTAGATGCCTGAGGAGTTCGCTTCATCTGCTCTGTCTGACGCTTATCTCACGCCTGTCTGTAATGCCTAATGTGTTCAGGATGTTCTCTGATTTAAAAAAAAAAAATACTCCCCCTAACCCAGTTAATAAAAATTGACAGAAGATTATTCAAATACTTGAGGTGTTTTTTTTTAATTCTTGTATAGAGAACTAAATTGAATCATGAGTCCATTAAGGTGTAATGCAAAGTAGTGTATGATTGACTGATGGTCCTGTATATTGTACCTCTCTTTTTCTGGTTTAATAAAAAATATATTGAATTTTAGAAAACCTTTTTATTCTAAACTTTAAATGTAGCTCTCTGATGCTCTCTACAAGCAGGTAAAAAGTGTCCACTACACATGCCCACACACATGTTCAGATACCTTTCTGTACATGAACATTCATTCTTGAAAGCTGATATATACGGGGCTGGAGAGATGGCTCAGAAATAAATAGCACTGGCTGCTCTTCCATAGGTCCTGAGTTCAATTCCCAGCAACCATATGGTGGCTCACAACCATCTATAGTGGGATCTGATGCCCTCTTCTGGCATAAATTCATACACGCAGATAGAGCACTCATACATAAAACAAATAAATCTTTTTTGTTTTAACTGATATATACAGGAATAGATTGGTGCACACATGTGACAGAACTTAAGGTCGCAGTCTCTGCCCCAGCAAACCAGGTTCAGGCCACCAGTCCTCCATAAGCCTTTAATTAAAAGAGCCAGATTAATAGTGAAAACCAGAAAAGGGAGATGTACTCCATGGGGCCACACTGGGAAGAGGGACAGAGATCCAGTGAGCCTCTGCCACCCCTACAGCCCTTCTTCAGGGTCCTGAGAAGTGGGCAAGGTTTAAATAGAAGACAGGACTACATAGCCAAGCAGTCCAGCCCTGGCCATCATTATCTTAGCTCCAAGTCTGCCCCACCAGCTGTAAAACTTTCTCCAGTGAACAAACACCTCCTCTGGAACTCCGGGGCTTCAAC